TATAGGTATATATAGGTTTGATAGTAACAAACAAGCCCCAGTCTCTGAATGTATATAGGTTTGATAGTAACAAACAAGCCCCAGTCTCTGAATGTATATAGGTTTGATAGTAACAAACAAGCCCCAGTCTCTGAATGTATATAGGTTTGATAGTAACAAACAAGCCCCAGTCTCTGAATGTATATAGGTTTGATAGTAACAAACAAGCCCCAGTCTCTGAATGTATATAGGTTTGATAGTAACAAACAAGCCCCAGTCTCTGAATGTATATAGGTTTGATAGTAACAAACAAGCCCCAGTCTCTGAATGTATATAGGTTTGATAGTAACAAACAAGCCCCAGTCTCTGAATGTATATAGGATAGTAACAAACAAGCCCCCAGTCTCTGAATGTATATAGGTTTGATAGTAACAAACAAGCCCCAGTCTCTGAATGTATATAGGTTTGATAGTAACAAACAAGCCCCAGTCTCTGAATGTATATAGGTTTGATAGTAACAAACAAGCCCCAGTCTCTGAATGTATATAGGTTTGATAGTAACAAACAAGCCCCAGTCTCTGAATGTATATAGGTTTGATAGTAACAAACAAGCCCCAGTCTCTGAATGTATATAGGTTTGATAGTAACAAACAAGCCCCAGTCTCTGAATGTATATAGGTTTGATAGTAACAAACAAGCCCCAGTCTCTGAATGTATATAGGTTTGATAGTAACAAACAAGCCCCAGTCTCTGAATGTATATAGGTTTGATAGTAACAAACAAGCCCCAGTCTCTGAATGTATATAGGTTTGATAGTAACAAACAAGCCCCAGTCTCTGAATGTATATAGGTTTGATAGTAACAAACAAGCCCCAGTCTCTGAATGTATATAGGTTTGATAGTAACAAACAAGCCCCAGTCTCTGAATGTATATAGGTTTGATAGTAACAAACAAGCCCCAGTCTCTGAATGTATATAGGTTTGATAGTAACAAACAAGCCCCAGTCTCTGAATGTATATAGGTTTGATAGTAACAAACAAGCCCCAGTCTCTGAATGTATATAGGTTTGATAGTAACAAACAAGCCCCAGTCTCTGAATGTATATAGGTTTGATAGTAACAAACAAGCCCCAGTCTCTGAATGTATATAGGTTTGATAGTAACAAACAAGCCCCAGTCTCTGAATGTATATAGGTTTGATAGTAACAAACAAGCCCCAGTCTCTGAATGTATATAGGTTTGATAGTAACAAACAAGCCCCAGTCTCTGAATGTATATAGGTTTGATAGTAACAAACAAGCCCCAGTCTCTGAATGTATATAGGTTTGATAGTAACAAACAAGCCCCAGTCTCTGAATGTATATAGGTTTGATAGTAACAAACAAGCCCCAGTCTCTGAATGTATAGAGGTTTGATAGTAACAAACAAGCCCCAGTCTCTGAATGTATATAGGTTTGATAGTAACAAACAAGCCCCAGTCTCTGAATGTATATAGGTTTGATAGTAACAAACAAGCCCCAGTCTCTGAATGTATATAGGTTTGATAGTAACAAACAAGCCCCAGTCTCTGAATGTATATAGGTTTGATAGTAACAAACAAGCCCCAGTCTCTGAATGTATATAGGTTTGATAGTAACAAACAAGCCCCAGTCTCTGAATGTATATAGGTTTGATAGTAACAAACAAGCCCCAGTCTCTGAATGTATATAGGTTTGATAGTAACAAACAAGCCCCAGTCTCTGAATGTATATAGGTTTGATAGTAACAAACAAGCCCCAGTCTCTGAATGTATATAGGTTTGATAGTAACAAACAAGCCCCAGTCTCTGAATGTATATAGGTTTGATAGTAACAAACAAGCCCCAGTCTCTGAATGTATATAGGTTTGATAGTAACAAACAAGCCCCAGTCTCTGAATGTATATAGGTTTGATAGTAACAAACAAGCCCCAGTGAATGTATATAGGTTTGATAGTAACAAACAAGCCCCAGTCTCTGAATGTATAGAGGTTTGATAGTAACAAACAAGCCCCAGTCTCTGAATGTATATAGGTTTGATAGTAACAAACAAGCCCCAGTCTCTGAATGTATATAGGTTTGATAGTAACAAACAAGCCCCAGTCTCTGAATGTATATAGGTTTGATAGTAACAAACAAGCCCCAGTCTCTGAATGTATATAGGTTTGATAGTAACAAACAAGCCCCAGTCTCTGAATGTATATAGGTTTGATAGTAACAAACCAAGCCCCAGTGAATGTATATAGGTTTGATAGTAAACAAACAAGCCCCAGTCTCTGAATGTATAGAGGTTTGATAGTAACAAACAAGCCCCAGTCTCTGAATGTATATAGGTTTGATAGTAACAAACAAGCCCCAGTCTCTGAATGTATATAGGTTTGATAGTAACAAACAAGCCCCAGTCTCTGAATGTATATAGGTTTGATAGTAACAAACAAGCCCCAGTCTCTGAATTAACAGGAATAACGCCCCAGTAATGCACTGCAAGCCCCAGGGAGACCAGAGATTCAGAACCTGAACCTGTGTAGGTTTAACATGAATAGGTAATAACACCCTGTGTAGGTTTAACAGGAATAACGTAATGCAAACTGTGTAGGTTTAACAGAATAACGTAATGCAAACACCTTGTGTAGGTTTAACAGGAATAACGTAATGCAAGCACCCTGTGTAGGTTTAACAGGAATAACGTAATGCAAACACCCTGTGTAGGTTTAACAGGAATAACGTAATGCAAACACCCTGTGTAGGTTTAACAGGAATAACGTAATGCAAACACCCTGTGTAGGTTTAACAGGAATAACGTAATGCAAACACCCTGTGTAGGTTTAACAGGAATAACGTAATGCAAACACCCTGTGTAGGTTTAACATGAATAACGTATCGCAAACACCCTGTGTAGGTTTAACATGAATAACGTAATGCAAACACCCTGTGTAGGTTTAACAGGAATAACGTATTGCAAACACCCTGTGTAGGTTTAACAGGAATAACGTAATGTAAACACCCTGTGTAGGTTTAACATGAATAACGTATTGCAAACACCCTGTGTAGGTTTAACATGAATAACGTTTTGCAAACACCCTGTGTAGGTTTAACATGAATAACGTATTGCAAACACCCTGTGTAGGTTTAACATGAATAACGTAATACAAACACCCGTGTAGGTTTAACAGGAATAACGTAATGCAAACACCCTGGTTTTACAGGAATAACGTAATGCAAACACCCTGTGTAGGTTTAACAGGAATAACGTAATGCAAACACCCTGTGTAGGTTTAACATGAATAACGTAATGCAAACACCCTGTGTAGGTTTAACAGGAATAACGTATTGCAAACACCCTGTGTAGGTTTAACAAGAATAACGTAATGCAAACACCCTGTGTAGGTTTAACATGAATAACGTAATGGAAACACCCTGTGTAGGTTTAACAGGAATAACGTTATACAAACACCCTGTGTAGGTTTAACAGGAATAACGTTATACAAACACCCTGTGTAGGTTTAACATGAATAACGTAATACAAACAGTAACTATAAAGTGTCACCAAATAAGAAGTTTTATTACAGAAGAAGAAATGAAGATGATGTTTATTTATTGATGTCACGTGTTGTACAGCATATTACATAATGTATAAGTTGCTATGTACAATGCGAGGGCAGTGTGACCTATGAAGACACTTTAGTCTTCAAGAAGACTAAAACATGTACAGATGAAAACGGGAAACTAAAACCATGAACAAACAAACATCAACACGAGCATGACAATAATCAAAACATACAATAACGTCGACGACAACCATGCTTTACACCGCCATGAATATAGACTTCATTCAAAGGCCAGAAATTATTGACCGACTGTTTTCATACATCAGTTTAACACGTAATAAGAAAGAACAAATTACGCCCAGTTTTTCTGTTACTAGATACAGACGCGATAAATTCGATCAAAGGCTTTCATTGCCCCAATACGACAAACAAAGATAGAACGTTTTGATTGCTTACGTTGTTTTACTAAAGAATACAAACACTAGATATGTTCAGCCGTGCTCTCTTCTTTCGTCAGCTAGACTATCATAACTTTCAATCTAAACAATAAAAACGGATATATGAAACATTAATTACTATGAAACATGACCGCATGAGCTTATATTAACTTACGCTCCTGGTAACACCACATGAGACTTCCCCCAGTTAGAACAACATGAGTTTAACTGATTACAGTTGAGCATCAAAGCTTACCCACTGGGACTAGGTTTTGTCAGCAGGGCGACGTCCAGGATATACTCCGGATTATGACTATGTTTTGGATATTGGGTGGGAGATGGGCATAACCGTTTCACATTGGTGAGGTTAACTGTCGACACAGGAGCACATACTTGCCCCACATACGCATAATGTTTCGTTTAATATCCTCAAATCCATCCCACTGACCCGGCAATGACCTGAATTCTTGGCAGTCTATTCTCCAGGGAAGCCCGTCTCCCAATTTGCTCAAGGCAAAAGGGAATGGCGCGTCTGTGTGAGTGTCCAGGTGGAGATAGCCAGGTGCACACAGCACGCCGCACTATATGCAACATGTAATGAGGGGGTGCATGGTTCATTGTCTGCAACCTGCAAAATCTATATTTCTACCGGGAGTGCGTCTGCGTGAGTGCGAGCGTGTATGCGTGTGTGAGTGCGTGCGTGTATGCGTGTGTGTGTGCCGTGCCATCCTATGTTCCCGACAATTACTTCTGACTCGATCGTCGATAGTTTGTTAACACTGAGTGTGGTCCCTCTTTGACATCTCATATCTGCATTTCTTTCTTTCCCTTGGCTTTATCCTGCCAATAACCCCGTATAACATAGTGCGGTGTGTATTTCCTGAACAACAGTTCATAAATAACATGTACATGCATCATAAAAATGACTTCAAATACGCCTATTCCGATGAAAGTTGATACTATACTGTGCTGTAGCATCCACCATCCCCCATACTAATGTCAAGGTGCTGGTGGTGATACTATACTGTGCTGTCGCATCCATCATCCCCCATACTAATGTCAAGGTGCTGGTGGTGATGACGCCGAAGTAAACCAACTGTGACATGGTGGTCGGGGACAGAGAGCAACTGCTTAGATCTTGTTGTGAGACTGTTTTATCGGCTGGCATTTCACCTCCTTTTGTGCCTCTGTCTCCTTACTTTCATCCCTGATCTTGGCAGGACATAGGTATCCCCGTGGACATGCGCATTTAAATTTCACCTCTTTCACTATGTCCGTCTTTTTGCTTAGATCCATAAATATCGTTGCGCACACACCATCGTTTTCCTTGCATCCGTTCTGAAATGTATAGATTTGAAATTATGTTTTATCTTCTGTGGTGAAGGATACCGGTCTGAAATGTATAGATATGAAATTATGTTTTATCTTCTGTGGTGAAGGATACCGGTCTGAAATGTATAGATTTGAAATTATGTTTTATCTTCTATGGTGAAGGATACCGGTCTGAAATGTATAGATATGAAATTATGTTTTATCTTCTGTGGTGAAGGATACCGGTCTTAAATGTATAGATTTGAAATTATGTTTTATCTTCTGTGGTGAAGGATACCGGTCTGAAATGTATAGATATGAAATTATGTTTTATCTTCTGTGGTGAAGGATACCGGTCTGAAATGTATAGATTTGAAATTATGTTTTATCTTCTGTGGTGAAGGATACCGGTCTGAAATGTATAGATATGAAATTATGTTTTATCTTCTGTGGTGAAGGATACCGGTCTGAAATGTATAGATGTGAAATTATGTTTTTTTCTTCTGTGGTGAAGGATACCGGTCTGAAATGTATAGATATGAAATTATGTTTTATCTTCTGTGGTGAAGGATACCGGTCTGAAATGTATAGATTTGAAATTATGTTTTATCTTCTGTGGTGAAGGATACCGGTCTGAAATGTATAGATATGAAATTATGTTTTATCTTCTGTGGTGAAAGATACCGGTCTGAAATGTATAAATATGAAATTATGTTTTATCTGCTGTGGTGAAGGATACTGGTCTGAAATGTATAGATATGAAATTATGTTTTATCTTCTGTGGTGAAGGATACCGGTCTGAAATGTATAGATTTGAAATTATGTTTTATCTTCTGTGGTGAAGGATACCGGTCTGAAATGTATAGATTTGAAATTATGTTTTATCTTCTATGGTGAAGGATACAACTACTCTATAGTCATACACAACTAAATCGATTTTAGTTTCACCATTGAACGAAACCTTTAAATATAACCTTGTTACATTTAATATACACATATAAAACATTTTTTTATGCGATGAAAGTGCTGCCAAGGAATACATGAATGCAAGTCCCGATCCACAGTGGCGCTTTGTTTTAACATCAGATATCAGTACATGTAGAGAGAGAGAAAGTTAGACAGAGAGAGAGGGATATAGAGAGAGAGATTGAGTGAGTGAGGTGTGGGGTGTGTGGGGGGGGGTGGGGGATGCCCGTTATTGGCACAAAACATTTCACATCTCTGCTTACTCTATTATCCATACTATATCAAGACTTTGAGAACCTCGTGCCAGTTGATTTTTCAATGCTGGTGTGATTTCACAACTCTTTTTTGACTACTGTATGGTTAAATGGACCACACCCATTTTTATTATCACATAACAACGTATACTCAAAGGCAAAGGTTAATGTGATCAACACTTTTGTTTATTTAATGAGAAAAAAATAAAAACGCATTTTAATATTCTTTACATCAACTTTATCCATAACCCAAACAGGCCTGTCGGTAGTTTTGGTTTTTCGTGCTTTCAAGTCCGTGGAAAAAAGGCATAAAACGTGCCCTTTAAAAAGTGTTGCTCTAAACCTCGAATCATTGTCACCCAAATCATTGTTTAGACGTCGACGGGTCCGAAAAAAACAAATTTGGAAGAATCTGCTTGCATTTCTCTATACCACGGCTAACTGAAAATGAAAGATGGGGATCCATCGGAATGCTTGAAACCGGAACATCCCAGCGCAACGTTGCACAGTAGTTTAACGTGCACAGGAACAACATATGCCGCTTGTGGAGACGTTATCAACAAAACGCCGTCCCCAGAGTGGCCGTCCACCTGTAACCACGCCACGTAACGATCGTTGGATTCGAAACCACCCATCTACGCCAAAGATTCCAACCAGCCACACTGACAGCCCGAACAGTTCCTGGTGTCAACAGGATATCGCCAAGGACCATTCGCCGGCTGCACACAGGATACGTGATAAACGTCCTGCCAGACGATAAATTTTGACATTACGTCACCGACGTCTACGACAGCAGTGGTGCAAGCAACATCTGCGGTGGAGAGCACGTGCGTGGAGACATGTTCTCTTCACTGACGACACCAGATTCCTCTTGCACCGCGCTGATGGCCGAATCCGAGCTCAAGTTTACCGGCGAAGTGGTGTGCGTTAAGTTAGGAACTGTGTTCTTGAGGCCGACCGTTTTGGTTTGGGGTGGGATAACGAGTGCTGGGCGTACACCTTTGCTTGTCATCAATGGACATTTAACGGGTCTCAGGTACAGAGACGAAATTGTTAATCCAGTCGTCATACCGTTTCTCCAGCAGAATGTTCCAGGAATGATCTTCCAGCAGGACAACGCCAGACCTCATGTCGCCAGGGTGGGTTCAGCAGTTCTTGGCGCAGCACAATGTTAACGTCCTTCCCTGGCCCGCTAAATCCCCAGATCAGATCCCTATCGCACGCGTCTGTGATGAAATGAGGAGGTTGAGACGTTGGCCAAATCCCCCCAGTCACGCTTCAGGAGCTCCGCCAGGTGCTTTCCCAGATATAGAATGCCATTCCACAATACTTCTTGCGACGTTTGATTGGCTGGCTCTATGAGGCGCAGGTGTCAAACATGCATCAATGCTCATGGTGGACACACACGTTGTTGAGTGTGTGAATTTCATTTTGACCGTTCTCTCACGGTGACCTCATTAGCATGTCCGATTCAGCAATATACTGTGTCATTCTGAAAGGTCCGACAAACACAGTAATATACTGTGATATTCTATACTGTATTATAGGCTCGACGGTATCAGCAATATACTGTCATTCTAAAAGTACCCTAGATTCAGTAATAAACTAAAACATTCTACAAGGTCACGTAGACTCAGAAATATACTGAGGTGTCCTACAAGGTCCAACATGGTGTGAAAATTTAACAAGGTCTCACAAGTCAAAACATTGATTACACAACAGTCTCGTTTCCTGTTGACTGGGTCCCGTCCTATTGCGCAACTTAGTACAATAACCAGTTCAGACTTTTGAGACCAATTCATTTAACTGGGTGCATAATTATTAATCTGTATTATTTGATAGGTCTAAGCACTTGTATATTGCAACACTGCGTTCCTTCTTATCCTTGCAAACACGTCGTGCAGCGTGCTTTGTCGTACAGCGAGCTCTGACAAACGGAAACCTGGTAATCGTGGAAATCTCAAAACGAGGCTCTCCCGCTAGAAAAGTTTGGCGGTCTGGTACGGACTTGATATGATATTGTGCGTTACAGAACTACACTGAATGAGCGCAAAATACACATAACAGGTGTAACCAGTGAGCCAGATGCATTGTGAATCATTTTACGACCTCATCAAACAGGGGCAGTCTGTGACGTCTTAGTTAAGGTCATGCTGCCTACACCTCACCATCAAATATAGAAATACGATGTTATTAAAGTTTACAATTGAAATTCATTTGTAAATGCCATTTTCTTATGTAAAAAGGAATTGGAATTCAGTGTAACCATAGTTGTGTGTGATGTTTATTTTCACTTCCACACAAGAAAATTCGGATCGGCTGAAAAGTAGGTCATTGTCTGAATAGATTTATGAGACTCATGTTTCGGTTTGAGCAGGGAGACTATCCATACAGTGTTGTACTCATTATAAGGTTCTATAGGCTTCGCAATATACTGTCCTATTCTATCGTGAAGATCCTAACTCTCATTCTAATGTGAGATCATCTACACCACCTGTCCCTCAACCCCGACGGTCTAGTCGACATCGGACACAACCACGGTGGATGACAGGTGGAGACTATCAGCCATAGCACAGCCAGACTGGCTAACAAGAGCCAATTATCTCAACACTCTCTTCGAATCAGCATGTTTTTCCGATCAGTCACATCGAGTATCTGACGCAATCTTGGATATTGTGACTGGTAGGATTAAATGATGACGACATCATTTCGCAGTGGAGGGAAGTGTGTGGCAATGTTGTTTATGTATATATCTGTATTTAACATATTTGTATATATTCAATGTTATTCAATGTATAAATAATGTACTAATTTTCACTGTGAAGTACAGAATAAAATAAACGTGCTTTCTATTTAGCTCCTGGTTGACTTGTCTTTAATACAGCTTTAATATTACTTAACTGCCTTTGGGTAGCTGTGGGGTCAGATTAGATAGCTTTGGTCAATCCTTTCTTAAAGACAGCTTACGCCTGATTGGCCTTGTTTAAAATACTAATGTTGAGCACTTCACCAGCACAGCACACAAGCCACTGTAGACTAAGACGGACCAGACATTCCTACAGTATTTTGTGTATTTCACAATTATGTACTTGTATATGGTGCCTAATCAGTTATAGTAAAATCATGTTTTCATATTATCTATATAATCAATATAGGTATAACCCAAAATGTAATTCAACTAAAACAGTAAGTCTATACACGGTTTAATTCACCTAAACATCAGCTTTTCACTGTCCTATTTCTGTCCTTGAGAATGAGTGAGCGAGCATACACTTTTTTATCATTTATGTGTTTGTCTATAACTATGTATGTTTTGAAGTGTTCATAGGTATGGTTCATACATGGAATGTTACCCAGTCTTTCAATAGTATTTATATTTGTATATTTATTAGTATTTAGATGCAGTTGATATAATCAACTGGTGCAATCAGTCCACGCCCCAGTACACACAAACTGAAACCCGACCTGTGTATCATGATTGAACACCCCGGTTACACCTGTCCCGCAGATTGAGCATTATCCATAGACTCATCCATGTACTGTTTATCCTAGTCAGACAGGTAGCCAGACTACTACAAGACTAAAGACAGTAAGCACTCATTCTCAATATAAGTGCACAACCGCTAAACATTCATTCTGTCTCCATATACAATACATTTTCCGGTAAATGCTTGATTAAAACGTCACAATATATGATTGATTTATCTTAAAATCGAAGTTAATTAAATTTAGTATCACACTTTACAGTCCATGTTTGTGAGAAATGCCCCAGCTAAGAAAGAACTTGTCAAAATAGGAATGTCGCCAACAGGAGATGGTATATCGACTACGTTAGTGAGATGACTTGCTGGGTTGTGGAAGCGGAAACAAGTGTCTAATGACAGCACAACATCTATTTGGACATGTTTTTCACGAAGTCATACTGTTAAGCGTTTTCTTAAATTTCACAAAAAAATGAAATGTTCCATGTCGCTGTTTTCACGTTATGGACTAAAATTTAGCTGAAATTCAATTTTAACTTGCAGTGATCATCTGTATTATCGCATAGTTAGTTTATTTAATTGTGGAATACAAGAAAAATAAAAAACGTTTTATACCATACGGTGTCTTTTCATGCTTGAGTTTAGCAACTTTCTATTAACATATAACCGTATGGTTAAGGATGTATTTTACGTTATAAATATACACGCGTCATATCATACATGAGTTGGTTAGGTGCTAATGATGCCAGCAAATGGAGAAATCTGCAAAGTCATGCTAAATATATCAGTTGGCTACCAGCGAAAACCGTCATTGTGTTTTACGTTACGTGTATTAAGTTATATATTTATTGTCCACACATCTAAAGCTATATACACTAAATCCAGGGGAATAAATTGTCAAATATATAGGTTGCAACATACATAAGTGAGGTAGCGCACTTGACAATACGATAGTACGATACGATGCTCATGTGATGAATGATGGTATAACGTAATATGAACCTGGAAATTTGAGGAAATCTTTAAAGCTGTGTACACGTTACATTTGCAATTTGCCGTTACCGACAATGAGTGCTATCGGTTGGAAGTTACTTAGGTGTAGTTTCATAATGTAATATACAATCAGGCCTGCTTCCATGCTTATTAGATAAGACCGCCTCCGTGGTGTAGTGGTTAGAGCGTCCGCCCGGAGAGCGGAAGGTCGCGGGTTCGATCCCCGACCGCGTCATACCAACACACGTTAAAATATGGTACTTGTTGGTCCTTGCCTGGCGCTCGGCATTAATGGGTACAACAAGGACCGTTCGACTCGGTGTCAGTATAATGTGTCTGAGTGGGGTATTCATGTTTCACTGCGGCATGGTATCTCAGTGGGCTAGCACTATAAAACCAGCTTAAGTCTGGGCTAGTACAAGCAGCCGCACATACACATACACACGCATGCACGTCGTCATATGAGCGAAATATTTTCAAGCACGACGTAAAACCCAATTTCACCTCACCTCACCTTATTAGATAATACACTACGGACGATGTTTAGGACAGTGTTTTTTTTTATTTCTAAGAGTCTGTGAGTATATATTCTTGCTTATAAATGAATACAATTTGAAAAGTTTACTCATTTAATTGTTTAAACAGTTATCAATTATATAAAAAATATCATAAATTACAATCAATTGCCCATGATAACAAGAACTTAGGTTTGAATTGGATGTTACAAATTCTTAAACGTAGTTTACACACAGGTGACATTACAACTGCTTACTGCAAATTTCCATTTTTGTCGAAATACATATTTGCAATTGTGCACTAACATTGAGAATGAGTGTAAGGCGATGTTCCGCAAGGTCCCACATACTGAGCAATATACTGTAAAATACCTTCTATATGCAAACATAGGCTCAGCAGTAACGTGTGAGATTCTGTAATAGTCAAATTAGGAGAAAGGCATTTTCAAGACTTTTTCAAGAATTGTTTGTCTACAATTAAACACCTCGGCTTCCAAAAGTGGATGGATGAACAACAAACATGGCCTGGTCGTTGATTGTACGGCCGCTTCATTGGCTGACCACCTCAGTGAGTCATCAAGCATGGGCCATCCGACTGCAGGCGAATACAGCAGTGTTTCGGGAGACCATCGACTTTGTATAGTACATTATAAATCATTCACTTTTACTTATGAAACACAAATATGCAATCGTTCGAATTCTTTGAGTCAGTTTAAGATGTTTGCATTCTCTACTGACCTTTTCACACTTGTAGGAGTATTTCCAGACGTTGCCGTCTCTTGTCCATCCTATCATATGATATAGGTCATGTCTACAGCGGCACCTCATGGTGTCCATGTAGGGCTTCCAGGTCGTCACCTCGGTCTTCACTACGGTAGACAGTTCGCCACTTCCACACTCACGCACTTTATCTTCAGCCATCACAGATTGACAAAATCGGTACTGGACCCTCCAGTGGCCTAAACAATCAAAATGTATTTGATACACATCTTCACAATTCTCCAAATTGACACTCAGCAAGGGGTCGTAAGTCAGAAAAGAGCAAGGGATTTTCTTCCTTTTCTTAATTCGGCTGATGTGTTGGCCGCAAATAGGCTTAGTTACGTTCCAAGTCTGTCCGAATACATCCCCTAATGTGCTTTAGCCCCAAAATGCACTAAAAGGAATTATCTAATAATGTGTTTGTGTAACTCACTCACTCACTCACCAAAGGTGAGCTGAGAATGCCTGCAGATCCACGTGAAACCACCTCAGTATAAATAGGGAAACGGCTTTCCTAAGTTGGACAACTTGTGCCCAGTTCCTTTCTTTCGAAAAAAGCATGTTCAAACCAGACTAATCATCCACATGGAACCACTTGATCACCACTTGTGAGGTGAGAATGCCTGTAATTCCACAAGGATAAATAGACTAATCATCCACATGGAACCACTTGATCACCACTTGTGAGGTGAGAATGCCTGTAATTCCACAAGGATAAATAGACTAATCATCCACATGGAACCACTTGATCACCACTTGTGAGGTGAGAATGCCTGTAATTCCACAAGGATAAATAGACTAATCATCCACATGGAACCACTTGATCACCATGTGAGGTGAGAATGCCTGTAATTCCACAAGGATAAATAGACATACGGTTGTCCGGAGGTGTCCAATAAGTTGCTAAGATTTCTCTATAATTGGAAATTTTCATAAATTATTCCTAAAATTATGTCTAAAATCAGATAAGGGTACACACACCATATTGTACTATGACGAAACAGTCATGGGTTGATGTAAGGTTTCCGTTATTGTGTACAGAACTTTATCTCAGAAACATCGTGATCATTTATATCATTCACCATTATGTGTGTCGATCAAAACATATTTGGATGCATGTGATTTAAGCCATATATGGAATAAATATTAATTTGTAAAGAGTAGTTATTAACTGGATCAGTTGTTTCAGAACCGTCATAGTGTCCATAGTCATCATTCTGAGTATACTTGATAACGTTGTTCAAACCAACTTTGTTTAATGAAAATATTTCCCTTGCTTAAATTCCAAACTACTTTTTATGTTTTACATTTTTTAAAAAGGAGGTGAAAAAATACCAATTGTAAAAGGTATATGTATGCAGGATGTGCTTACCCTTTATGCGAACACTTGGTGTGGTCACTGTTTCAGTGGTCCTTTCATACGTATTTTGACAGCTATTTCCCTTCTCGCGAAAGGCAACCTGTCTATAAGCTAGATATTCTCTTGCATTGAAAGGGTATACACTGCGATAATGAAAACTGCACACAAAATTTAATCTAAAATTAATCATAGATGTCTGCCATTGATCTTCAAACGGTACCATAAATATGGCATAAGAAATCGGAAAGATACATTCATGTTTTACTAGCAACTAGATACATATCTAACATTTTAGAAGGTGCAGTCATCCCTTTCTTATTCAGTTTGTACGATGGAATTGTTCCCCATGCACTAGAAGGAAAGTGCAAGTTTTGTCAGCACGACGAAATATTGAATGAATACCATGCTGTCTCAAAGCGTACCGTTAAAAAGTTTCTTTCCGGTGCTAGGATCTTGTGCAGCAGGAATTCAAAGTTGAGTACAAAAATGCTCAGTCCCAAGTTACTTTGCATTTTGTATCAGGGGATTCTCATAATTGGAAACATTACTTCCTGGAAAAAACACTAATGTTTAAAACAATTTCTCATTGAAAGTTGTCCAGGTGCAATCTTGCGTCCCGCTTCAGAGCCTAAACTAAGACCGTTCATCTATGGAGCCGGAGTATATAAGTATTGTGTCGCACTAAATATGCGTTAAGATTTGATTGCAGAGCCAAAAAGCAGTAAAGACTAGTCAAGATTTATCCCAGTGGTATATGGCAGTGTAAGGAAACAATTAGAACATTAGGTTCTTGAGAGGCATATAGAAGTTGGTATTCAAGTATAAGACAAAATATTATGGATGTCAACTTCTTCTTTATTACATACACAACGTTTCTGGGCTTTTCCTTGCCCCTTCATCATACACCTGAAAAAGGGGCAAAGGAAACGCCCAGAAACGTTGTGTATACAATATAGAAGAGTGAGTGAGTTTAGTTGTACGCCGCACTCAGCAGTATTCCAGCTATATGACGGCGGACTATAAATAATCGAGTCTGGTCCAGTGATCAACAGCATGAGCATCGACCTACGCAATTGGGAACCGATGACATGTGTCACCCAAGTCAGCGAGCCTGACCACCCGATCCCGTTAGTCGCCTCCTACGACAAGCATGGGTTACTGAAGATCAATATTCTAACCTGGATCCCTCACGGGTACAACATAGAAGAAGTTGACATCCATAATATTTTGTCTTATACTTGCATTCACATAGTTTTCGTTACGATTCATTAGAGGTTCAAGTTAGTTGTTAGGAATGCATTTACTCTAAATGCGCTTTGCATTGATTACTACCTTCTCTCAAAGCCGATATACGCATCATCTGTTCGGAATCGTGTGAAACGCCCCTGCAGAATGTTGTGCTATTGTTGTCGTGTTACCTCTCTCGTAATGCTGCCAGGTGAGTGCCCTGTCGTCGTTGTCACTCCATGCCGATCCACAGTTGCCGTCGCTGCAGGTGCAATAGGGTCCTTCGTTTGCAACATAACCATCTGGATACTTCATCAACGTAGTACAAACATGCCTCGGTCCCCCGCAGATATCGCTGCCTTTTCGTGGCTGAAATTAACGACAGAAAAACAAGCTGTGCTTTGTGTAAAAAGGTTCATTTGCATCCAGCTTAAAACCGTTTCATTGCACATAATGCGATGCGTCAAAATGTGTCATGTGTTGCGAAGCGGTTAATTGTCATTTCTATAGTCAGTTTAGCTGTTATCCATATCAGACTGACTACACAGATCTGACTGCTGACATTTAGGCAAGTACTCGCATATATTTAAGAAAGATAACATTACTGCAAAAATGGCGTAAAATGATTTTAGCTCTCGCGTATTATCGCTTATCAACGGTACATAATGAGATGCTGAGTCTACACAAGACATGAGCCCTTGCTCCATAACAGCAATATTCTGCCTTGTACGTTTCCAGTTGGCGGTCAAGTGTTCAACACTATGTGTACATAACTGTGTATATCTCAAGGTGAACACAATAATACAGTTTGAGAAGAGACTAAATCACCATGAAATTTAATCTTGAGCTGTTTTTTAGCTTTCAGAACACCCGTGCATTGAGTTCTTCATGATTCATGTTGTGATGTTGTGTAATATTAATGATACTCTGATGTTAAATGTAGACAAAATAGACACAAACTATAGATAAAGCTAAAAGTAACATAAGAAAGAAGTGGGTTTTAAATAAACTGTCTGGTAACTTCATGTCTTTTATTACGAAACTGACCAAGCTTTTCCTTGTTTTGATTTTTCACATTTGCCATTATAGAATAGTAATAGAATCATATCGAGCAATCATCAACATGGTCGTATTCCGCGTACAGTACTCACCTCGTCTTCTTCATCACATCTGACGGTTGTAAGTACCAACATGGCGGCCACATGGAGAAGCCACAACGTGCCCGGTATTGTATCCATCTTGCCACAAGAACCTGGTACCTCCGGCCAAATTATGCACAAATGTTAGTCCCAATGCTAAGATGAGAGTTGACGTGAGGAAAATCAATACCTGTGCGATGGTCCTTCTGTGAGAACGGCTTCAATTAACAATCTCTGCGGATGCGCTCCTGTAGAGAACATACAAATCCACCATCCCTTCAGTTCTCTACTCAACATTCAACGTGCTAGAATGCAAGCAGGAGATTCATCAACTTCTGATACCTAAAGTAACATCAGACCAAACTCCATGACAGAAGCGACCAGTCAGGATTCATTATCTCTCACAAATGCGCCGCGGATATTATGATCCCTGAAATATCGGCACGTCCCTTTGTTCTCATTAAATATTAAAATGTTAGACAGATTGTAGCACCAGAGGCATGCGCAGTGCCAGACAAGCGAGCCTGTGGGAGAGGGCACATCGAATGCACCACCACGGATCGATCCCCTTCCACAAATGCAAACGTTTTGGTTATGTAATGCACTCATCGCAAGATCAATGCGCGGAATGACAACGCTAATACGCATCTTAATGGATGCCGCCGCACATTAAAGATTATCAACAAACGTACTGAACCAACATGTGTTGCTTCAAAAGATAACTACAAGGATATATTGTATACATAATGAACAGAGATCTATACTCCCGAAACGAAGATGACAACCCAAGGGTATATACACTGTAAGAACGAGAGTAATGAATATGAAAAGGAGATTATACTATTAGAATGAAGAGGTGTATGTGAAGGAAGGTAATGCAGTTAGAAAATGTACGTAGTGAGGAGATTATACAGTTAGAATGAAGAGGTGTATGTGAAGGAAGGTAATACAGTTAGAAAATGTACGTAGTGAGGAGATTATACTGTTAGAATGAAGAGGTGTATGTGAAGGAAGGTAATGCAGTTAGAAAATGTACGTAGTGAGGAGATTATACTGTTATAATGAAGAAGTGTATGTGAAGGAAGGTAATACGGTTAGAAAATGTACGTAGTGAGGAGATTATACTATTAGAATGAAGAAGTGTATGTGAAGGAAGGTAATGCAGTTAGAAAATGTACGTAGTGAGGAGATTATACAGTTAGAATGAAGAAGTGTATGTGAAGGAAGATAATGCAGTTAGAAAATGTACGTAGTGAGGAGATTATACAGTTAGAATGAAGAAGTGTATGTGAAGGAAGGTAATACAGTTAGAAAATGTACGTAGTGAGGAGATTATACAGTTAGAATGAAGAAGTGTATGTGAAGGAAGGTAATACGGTTAGAAAATGTACGTAGTGAGGAGATTATACTGTTAGAATGAAGAAGTGTATGTGAAGGAAGGTAATGCAGTTAGAAAATGTACGTAGTGAGGAGATTATACAGTTAGAATGAAGAAGTGTATGTGAAGGAAGGTAATGCAGTTAGAAAATGTACGTAGTGAGGAGATTATACTGTTAGAATGAAGAAGTGTATGTGAAGGAAGATAATGCAGTTAGAAAATGTACGTAGTGAGGAGATTATACTGTTAGAATGAAGAAGTGTATGTGAAGGAAGGTAATACAGTTAGAAAATGTACGTAGTGAGGAGATTATACAGAATGTTAGAATGAAGAAGTGTATGTGAAGGAAGGTAATACGGTTAGAAAAGGTACGTAGAAAATGTACGTAGGAGATTATACTGTTAGAATGAAGAAGTGTATGTGAAGGAAGGTAATACAGTTAGAAAATGTACGTAGTGAGGAGATTATACTGTTATAATGAAGAAGTGTATGTGAAGGAAGGTAATACAGTTAGAAAATGTACGTAGTGAGGAGATTATACAGTTAGAATGAAAAGTGTAGTGAAGGAAGGTAATGCAGTTAGAAAATGTACGTAGTGAGGAGATTATACTGTTAGAAATGAAGAAGTGTATGTGAAGGAAGGTAATACAGATGCAGGTTAGAAAATGTACGTAGTGAGGAGATTATACTGTTAGAATGAAGAAGTGTATGTGAAGGAAGGTAATACAGTTAGAAAATGTACGTAGTGAGGAGATTATACTGTTAGAATGAAGAAGTGTATGTGAAGGAAGGTAATACAGTTAGAAAATGTACGTAGTGAGGAGATTATACTGTTAGAATGAAGAAGTGTATGTGAAGGAAGGTAATACAGTTAGAAAATGTACGTAGTGAGGAGATTATACTGTTAGAATGAAGAAGTGTATGTGAAGGAAGGTAATACAGTTAGAAAATGTACGTAGTGAGGAGATTATACTGTTAGAATGAAGAAGTGTATGTGAAGGAAGGTAATGCAGTTAGAAAATGTACGTAGTGAGGAGATTATACAGTTAGAATGAAGAAGTGTATGTGAAGGAAGGTAATACAGTTAGAAAATGTACGTAGTGAGGAGATTATACTGTTAGAATGAAAGAAGTGTATGTGAAGGAAGGTAATACAGTTAGAAAATGTACGTAGTGAGGAGATTATACTGTTAGAATGAAGAAGTGTATGTGAAGGAAGGTAATACAGTTAGAAAATGTACGTAGTGAGGAGATTATACTGTTAGAATGAAGAAGTGTATGTGAAGGAAGGTAATACAGTTAGAAAATGTACGTAGTGAGGAGATTATACTGTTAGAATGAAGAAGTGTATGTGAAGGAAGGTAATGCAGTTAGAAAATGTACGTAGTGAGGAGATTATACAGTTAGAATGAAGAAGTGTATGTGAAGGAAAGGTAATGCACAGTTAGAAAATGTACGTAGTGAGGAGATTATACAGTTAGAATGAAGAAGTGTATGTGAAGGAAGAAGTAATACAGTTAGAAAAATGTACGTAGTGAGGAGATTATACAGTTAGAATGAAGAAGTGTATGTGAAGGAAGGTAATGCAGTTAGAAAATGTACGTAGTTATACATACGTTAGGATTAGAAGAAGTGTATGTGAATAATGCAGTTAGAAAACGTACGAAAGGAGATTATACTGTATGTGAAGGAAGGTAATACAGTTAGAAAATGTAATGTAGTGAGGAGGAGATTATACAGTTAGAATGAAGAAGTGTATGTGAAGGAAGGTAATACAGTTAGAAAATGTACGTAGTGAGGAGATTATACAGTTAGAATGAAGAAGTGTATGTGAAGGAAGGTAATACAGTTAGAAAATGTACGTAGTGAGGAGATTATACTGTTAGAATGAAGAGGTGTATGTGAAGGAAGGTAATACAGTTAGAAAATGTACGTAGTGAGGAGATTATACTGTTATAATGAAGAGGTGTATGTGAAGGAAGAAGGTAATGCAGTTAGAAAATGTACGTAGTGAGGAGATTATACAGTTAGAATGAAGAAGTGTATGTGAAGGAAGGTAATACAGTTAGAAAATGTACGTAGTGAGGAGATTATACAGTTAGAATGAAGAGTGTATGTGAAGGAAGGTAAGGTAATACAGTTAGAAAATGTACGTAGTGAGGAGATTATACAGTTAGAATGAAGAGAGTGTATGTGAAGGAAGATAATACAGTTAGAAAAATGTACGTAGTGAGGAGATTATACTGTTAGAATGAAGAGGTGTATGTGAAGGAAGGTAATACAGTTAGAAAATGTACGTAGTGAGGAGATTATACAGTTATAATGAAGAAGTGTATGTGAAGGAAGGTAATACAGTTAGAAAATGTACGTAGTAGTGAGGAGATTATACAGTTAGAATGAAGAAGTGTATGTGAAGGAAGGTAATGCAGTTAGAAAATGTACGTAGTGAGGAGATTATACAGTTAGAATGAAGAAGTGTATGTGAAGGAAGGTAATGCAGTTAGAAAATGTACGTAGTGAGGAGATTATACAGTTAGAATGAAGAGGTGTATGTGAAGGAAGATAATGCAGTTAGAAAATGTACGTAGTGAGGAGATTATACTGTTAGAATGAAGAAGTGTATGTGAAGGAAGGTAATACAGTTAGAAAATGTACGTAGTGAGGAGATTATACAGTTAGAATGAAGAAGTGTATGTGAAGGAAGGTAATGCAGTTAGAAAATGTACGTAGTGAGGAGATTATACAGTTAGAATGAAGAAGAAGTGTATGTGAAGGAAGGTAATACAGTTAGAAAACAAACGTAGTGAGGAGATTATACTGTTAGAATGAAGAGGTGTATGTGAAGGAAGGTAATGCAGTTAGAAAATGTACGTAGTGAGGAGATTATACAGTTAGAATGAAAGAAGTGTATGTGAAGGAGAAGATAATGCAGTTAGAAAATGTACGTAGTGAGGAGATTATACAGTTAGAATGTAAAGAAGAAGGTGTATGTGAAGGAATTAGTACAGCAATACAGTTAGAAAATGTACGTAGTGAGGAGATTATACTGTTAGAATGAAGAGAGTGTATGTGAAGGAAGGTAATGCAGTTAGAAAATGTACGTAGTGAGGAGATTATACAGTTAGAATGAAGAGGTGTATGTGAAGGAAGATAATGCAGTTAGAAAATGTACGTAGTGAGGAGATTATACAGTTAGAATGAAGAGGTGTATGTGAAGGAAGGTAATACAGTTAGAAAATGTACGTAGTGAGGAGATTATACAGTTAGAATGAAGAGGTGTATGTGAAGGAAGGTAATGCAGTTAGAAAATGTACGTAGTGAGGAGATTATACTGTTAGAATGAAGAGTGAGTTTGGTTTTACGCCGCTTTTGGCGATATTCCAGCAATATCACGGCGGGGCTTAGAACGAAGAGGTGTGTCTTTGAAGGAAGATAATGCAGTTAGAAAATGTACGTAGTGGGGCGATTATACTGTTAGAACGAAGCGATGAACGTGTAATGGAGGTTAAAATGTGATAGGCTTTACAAAGGCTCCTAACATATATATGATATTTAGGAGTACTTCGTACATGTTGTTTTACTACACATATAAATGTTGTTGTTTATGTTGTTGTGTATATATAACAGACATATGACGTAGACATGTATCTACTCGAATCTGGACAGACCAGGTCAGTGGTTGACACTATGAGCATCGATGTGGGATCCAGTGACAATTCATCAACCATGTTAGTTGTCCTTATGCCGGGATGTCATTAGTCCCCTTTTAAGATTTACTGCTCTAGTTTTTTATTCATAGATTCATGTAGATGAACTTGGGGTGTATGTTTGATATGAGCATTGTCTGACGTTGATATGTACTGGAATGGAATACTGAACAATGCATACCTGATTTTTATGTTTGACACAAATGTAATGTTTACCTTTGAACACACAGAGATACAGAAGCTTTTGGTATGTACTTTGTGGAAGAGCGGTGTGAATTTTGTGTTCTCATGCAAAACGGTAGGACGTACTTTTTCTTTCATACTGTTCTTGCATGATTGCACGTGAGCTTTTCGACATAATGCGTATTTCGCACACGGGTGAAATGTTTTGCCGAGCTCCTACTTGTACACGCCAATCACGAGAACGAA